AAGACAAGAAAAACAGCCATGACAACGAAAAATTAATGGACGATGCAAAAATTCGTTTTTATTCTAATGTTTATGGCTAATTAGAACACTACTAGGAGGTGCAACATTTCGTCCGAGATGTTGGGTGTTCCCGATGCCATTTTATGTACTAATAATCCTTACCCGAAAGCATTTGCCAAAGATGTTTTCTATTAACCACTGTTAGATTTACATACAAAGCAAGTAAACACTTCATTACCTACATACGATATTGATCAATGTGTAGAAGAATATTAATTCTTCAGAGAGGCGGTACCAGGTCGAGCGGTGAAATGATTCATCCTCTGCGAAGCATCATACGTTATTCGTTTACTCTTCTCTGATTTAGTATTGGTAATAGTGATTCTCTGCGTAGCATCGAATATATTATCCTCGGTCAAGTTAATTCTGGAGAACAGTACTTTATTATAAATTAGTTCTACTTCCCATATTACGAATAGCTTGTTCGCATCCGCTTCTCATAGAATTTGATAAATGGGTTAGAACCATTTTTCACTCCTGCTAAAAATTCAATATTAATATTTTAGACATAGTCTTCTACTTAAAATATATCATAGACTTAATTTCTTTGTGCAACATGACTGGTGTGTTAACCTCCAGCCGTCCTAATACTAAGTCTTTTCTGGCTTGTGCTTTGAATCAGTAATTATTTATATATTCACCTTATATAACAATTGCAGACATACGTGTGCCACGCCCATTGATATTATAATTCATTTGTTCAAGAATTTTAACGTTGCTCGCCATAAGACTAACAGTTCGACTTCTTTTTTTTTTAATCACGGGAATAGTCAATCCAAAATTATTTCATAATGTCTGTAACGCTTTGCACATCATAAGAATGTGCTGTTTTCATCGAACACAGCTTTAAACGAAAATAAAAACTGGACCGAAAATATCATTATTTAAAGCATACAATCAATTGGCTTGTTTAACAATCGGGAGACCTTTTTCGTTCGGACGTTAAAATGTCGCACTGCGAACGGAAGCACTAACATTGGGCCTGCATATTCATTGTGATAATTATTGTATTGAATTATTAATAAGACTTAATGTTTGTATAAAAATTAATTGTTACCAGCGATAGAGACATCTTCAACAGGGAATTGAACGAATTTATTAAAATATAAAAATTTATCCTAATTGCAAGAAATTAAATAAGAACCAACGTTAAATGTGCTGAAGATGTTGACTGCTAGAGAAACTACAACCGTTTATATATCTTTCTATCGTTTACTAATCTGATTGTTTGTCAGAATTTTTCGATAAATCGGGAAAATAATTAATTAATCTAAATGTCAGAGTTTCTGTTCATACATTCTGACACCCTACGTCTGTCACGAATTCAGCAGCCTTCGGCTGATTTTTCATAAAGAAGGGGACATCAATATTGATATCTGTGGCTTTCGGCAGTTTGAACTCCAATAATCGCATGTGCTTCCTCGTAGCAATCATTTTCAATTTATAGTCGAGAAATAAAGCCTTACTTATTACTATTGCTAAATGTGGCAAATCAATTGCTTTGTCGAGTAATAACAATTAGTCAAATAACGACGAGATAATTTAATTGTCGCACCTAAGACCTGAATAATGTAGTAAATGTGATAAAACCCCCACCGATTCCATACAAAGAAGACCTGAGAGTAAAGTGGGAGAAATTAAATGGGTTAGAATTCTCTTTTGACGCTCATTTACATAAATTACAGGGTGATCGAGCTGGACGGTATACAATTAGCATTAATCCTCAATATCTAATTTGTTTTACCGAGAAAAAGCAAAGCGTATTGAAGTAGAAACAGCCGATTATCACTAGATTAAGATATTATGACTAGAATAATACCTATTTATCCCGGAGAAATCCGAAAAGAGAAAATATTAGTACCACGGAAGATTAGTCAGAGTCAATTGGCCTATAAAATTATGTGTCGCCTAAATTACTTATGAAATTTGTTAAAAGAAAAGAAACATTGATGTAGAAATGACTTTGCTTATTTTGGACCAGTTTTAAGTTTTAGTTGACCTTGCAACCAAGAATATGATTTAAGAATTCGTCAAAGGCAAGTAGCCAAAATTAAAAAAAGAAATTCACCCTTTATCTTTTTACCAAGTCAAATGTTCCAAACACTATTACTATTAATAACTTTTTAAAAATTATTATTCTTTAATCCTCTTCCTACTTCACTGGCTTTATAACTTTCAACCAAAGACAATTTTTTCTTTTAATATTAGTGATAGTTTATATTATTCTTGGATTTTACTTCATAATTTACTGCCCGCTTCGGATAAAGGGTTTGTCCTGGATATAATAATCGTTATTTTCTTTTGGAGTCCTCTTTCTAAGTGTTCTTCGACGACAGACTTCTCTTTGAATTATATTTTCAATAATGACTTACTGCTCATGTGTGTGTGTCCGAATGATATATGGAGCATGCTGTAACCAAACCAGACAAAGTGAACATACAGTAACTATTGCATTTTGGCTGAGCAGAATACTTTTTCCCCTGCAGAATGAAGAGAGACACCTGTTTAGACTAACACCTTTCAAAGTAGAATGACCCTTTCTGTGATAACCTTAGTTACTCACAAGCAATTGCAACTACAAAGGACAGAGCAACACAATTGTGAACGCGATGGACTTAAAATGAAGGTTCTTCTCATCATCGTTTCATTAAGAGTTACAATTATACGAATCATATTTGGAATGCCATGTCTAACCACGTGTCTAGACGAATATTCCCGACGCGTTACGTTAACCTCTGTATACACAGGCAAACTCGATAAGTCGGTCATGTATCATGGACCGACTTATCGAGAGAACCGACTTATCGAGAGATTTTAAATATTAAAACTGAGAAAAAGGCTTGGGAAGTTTTGGCCTTCTTAGGCCAAAATTGAATCATCGAGAGACCGACTTATCGAGTTTGCCTGTGTATTCAGTGTTTGAGATATTTTAACTCTTCGCAAGACGTTGGGCGTAATCTCATCACAACGGAATACAAGTAACTCATAAAATCATAACATTGGCATAGGCTGACGATATCATTAACTGATATAGAAATTAACTTCCGATTTATAATTTAGTGAATTAATAATTATGATTTCGTGTCCTTTGTTAGAGCAACTAAGGTGGACCTCTAAGCTGCTTTTTTCACATCATACGGGAGTACATGTTTGAGTCTAGTAAGGTTGAATTAATAATTATGAACGCTCTCAATAAATTAGGGTAATAACGGTCGAACATCTCGCAAGAGAAATTCCCTACCACCAGCATGAGTCATTACCTGGGTGGAACGTTATCCATACTCAGAGGTTGGTAACAATGATGGGATTTTTCGACTTTATGCAAAATCTAATGTAACAATAGTAGAAGAACTTTATAGCAGAATGTAGCTTAGGTTTCAAGCATCTGCATGTAAGTTTTGCTTTCGGAGCAATAAAAAAAATGAAAATAAACAATTGCAGCTAAAATCAATTTTGCTGATTAAAATTTTATTTATTTAGAGAATGGGAACGTTACATATTAATATTGAAAATCTTGCACCTTCAGCTAAACACGGTGGTAGAGGAATCATGGTATGGGGATGCCTTTCGGGAGGGGTACGAGTGAAAACCTATTCAAGTGACTTTAATGGTAAATATTATGCTTTTCAAGATCCAGCAAAAAATGGTCTGGTTCATTCCCCGACAAGTGTTCACCAACATTATTTCGAAATTATCCTTTTTTGGTAGTTGATTGTTGGGGAAATGAGGTACGAGTTAGATAATTGAGAATTTCTCTTAGGGGATATTCGATAATTATCATTGTTGGATAATTTACTGAAACCAACGACATCATTTAGGGAAGTTGCAACATCAGATTACAATCAACGCCTAGCGAAGAGTTAATACTTTATAAAAGTATAAATAGTTCAAGACGCCAAGCGAAATATTAACAGCTCTACACTTGTTGGATTATGCTGCAATATTCCTATAACCTCTAATGAAGCGATGATGAGAAGAACCCTCATGCTTAGCCCATCGCGTTCACATAGTCCAAGAGCAATTGAGCAAACCAAAACCTGTGCTAAAGAAATCCAGGAACAACAAGAAAAGTGAAAACATTAGTTAAATACATCTTTTACCTAAAAGCAAAATTAAAATGTAGGTAATAGTAATAAGCTATTTCAGGCCAAGCCGAGTGACGTCACATGCTCAGTAGACCATGCGTTTGTGATCTTTATTTGTGATGGGGAATTGCGCCAGACACTCATAACAATCACATTTGTAAATCAACATTTCTAAGACAAATTCATAGTATACTTCTTCCAAATGCAAAATCTCCAACCCGCCAGCAGACTCACCCAATGGAAACAGACTCTGGCACCTCGTCAACATTCCTTCCTTCCACAGTCTGTTCTTCTACCTCTACCCTCACTACCCAGACACCAGCTGTAACTACAACACCAACAAACGCTGATTTCGAAGAGCCTCTTCAAGCGAGGTTTCTTGTTCTCGAAAGGAAGTTATGGGAACTCGAAGTGAATGCTGAGAGAGATGTAGGATCTAGTATTGATGTCGGTGAATTGGATAACATGCAAGATATGCAGAGGGGAGCGAGTGAAGTTAGAAGCGTGGAAGATACGGAAGTTGACAGAGAAGACGAGAGTGTAATTGAAACAGTGATTGAGTGGGCATATGAGCGGGATGGTGACAAAGAAGATGATGAGGAGGAAGTCCGTGATAATGACGATGGTCACGAAGATAATTATAGAAATGATCATGATAGAGACAATAAGAACAATAATGATAGAGACAATCAGAATGATAAAGGCGATCGTAAAGAGATACTGATATTAAGATAGAAAGGTTTTCTACGATTTGTTTGGATAGTGAAAAACTACATTATCATCAAATACTTCGTAAGCTTGGCTTTGACGGGATCAACTGTCTGGATGATATCTGTACGGGTCTCGATAGAGTTATATGATTTGCCTCTGTATCATCAATACTCATTTTTTAAATGCACTGAATATTTTTTTCAGTGAGTCATAAATACAGTGTAATCAGTTGTACTGAATGCTATAAAAATAAAATTTCCCAACGCGGATTATTGTAGACGCCCTTTTTTCCTCTGACACTCATATTTATCACGCCTCTTTATATGTTGCAACTAGCCTCTGTTTACCCCAATCAGATGTAAGATGTTATCATTAACCAGATTCTAATGTGCGGTCGTAAGATCATTTTCTTGCCACTGTGTTGTGAGCAAATAGAAGAATAACTTACAACGAACGAATGGCGGGGAGACTAGAACTGCTGGCTCAGCAGAAGTCTTTTGAAAACATAATTAATTGTCTGTACCAATAATGGCCATCACGTAAGGGATATTTGATAACACGGATATTATTAACTTTTAATGTGGTTACTATTCACCTCGCCATGAAATCGATTACTCCAATGAACATACGCGCTGAGACTACCATCTATACATCAACAATGATGATACTTATTCCAATTAGTGTGCGAGGCCTGCAATATTTGCGTAGCAAACGATTCCATATTCCTTATAGCATCTCTCCACTGTGAAAGCGTATCCAACGTTGCGTTTAACGTTTGCTCAGATGGGACGTTCAGCAGATTACTCAAAGTCGTATTTGCACTATGAGATCTCGTTAGTGCTGGAGATCTATAAGTAGAGAAATTATGGCTTAAACCAGTCCGATATCCATTATAGCTTGTCGCAAGAAAGACAACATTATTGATAAACTCTCGGAGTTGAGGTATAATACGCATCACTTTGTCCAACTGGTCGATTGTCGGAACAAGCTGGTCGATTTTTTCGAGCTTTAAGGTAAGCATAAGCTCCTGTTATGTTTTGAATTGAAGAAGTTATGTATTAGGAAGACAAAGAAGACGGATCAATGTATCAAATAATGATTGTATACCTTTATTATCTCAGCAAGGATCTTTGTGTCAGCTTCGTCGACCTTGGACAACTGAAGTCTACTGTAAAGTCTGTCCTTTCGAATTTCCTCCAGTCTAGATTTCGACTCTGGTAAAAGAAATGTCAATTATTTAAATGATTGGCTGAAAATTTGATGACTGTCGCGTTCTTTTACCTCGAAAATACATCTTTGTAAATGGTCTGGTCTCCTTCTTACAAGCTTGCAATTCTAATTTAAGTTGTTCGTTTTCCTCCTTTAATTTTTCGAGTTCTTTCGATTCATCGAGACGTTCAATCTGCGAAAGTATCAAATATCTCATATAAACATTCACACATTCTATAAAACTTAGTTTTGACAGAACTTGGTTTCATCATTACCGTTTCTGCATTCGAACCATCATGATTTCCTTCATAAGTTCTCGTCCTCTGCAACTAATTTAATAAATAGAATAAATGGTGATGCTTATCCGTAGCATGTTTACGAGCGATTAACTTACTAATGGTGAAGCTTCGCGTTCATTAGCCTTCCTTTCTGCTTCTGACTCATCAAGACGCTTTTGCAACCTGGCACAATGTTCCGTTACCGCCGCAAGGTCACTATGAGATTTATCTAATGCTTTTAAAAGTTTTTGAATCTGTTCAGTTGCCTCTTGCAAGGGATCCTAAAGAAGTTCGATCCACTTTCATAAACATATGCTGATCAATCAATTCTGTTGAATATATCGTCCAATTAAGCCATACCTTTAAATCACCGTCCAACTCTTGTACAAGATTTTTAGCAGCTATAGTCTGAGATGCATTAGTAGCTGTTTCAATCTTCTCAAGTTCCTGCGTAATTCCACTCGACGCCACGCTAAATTTGCAAGTTGGGTCTTCAGCGATTTGCTTCAGCGTAGTTTCATTGGTCTCTGCATTAACTTCAGTATCTTGCTTCTGCACAATATCGGTTGGTAGAGTTGTAGAGTCTAGATCTAAGTTGGGCAATTTAACCGATAATGATGGACTCGGTTCTTCAAACTTTGACATAATTTTGTAAAATTAATTTGTTTAGGTATATCATAACCATTGTTTGTGTTGCCCTTGCTATACTTACTTCCATGATCGCCGACGTAATAAAGGGCTTTATTATTAAAGACTGTAAGCGGTGAACGTGCGACCATTCATTCTGGGGGATTTCCCGAAGGTAACATTCAACTGCTTCTACCATAGCTTTTGTCATTGCTGCAGAATTTGTATTTTGACGCGAAAAATTTGAGAAACTCGTACACGTCTTATTTATTGGATATTTATAGTAACACGGACGATCTGCATTACACGGACCCCAATATTATTAAAAATATGATCTCTGCCCGCGATTTCACGTAACTTAATAAACATGCCTGAAAGAAGTTCAACGAGACTCTAAAACATGTGAGAGTGCTTGAACGTTACATTAGGTTAAATTCGGTAAGCAAACAACGATAGATGAATATTTGAGCACCCTAAATAAACACACTAATACACTTTATTGAGTCACATAAAACCAATACCCATGAAACCAATCAGATCTTAATGCCTCAGGGTCAGTACCTTACAGAAACTTGTAGTTTTTATAAATCTCTCTGTGACATCAGAATAAGATCACCACTATCTACCGTAGAGCACTGAATACAGTACCCCCCTTAAATAGTATTCCCCTAAATTAGGACCCGGGTACAATTCAGGAATTTTTGGTAAAGTTTTTGAAATGTACCCGGGTACAAATAGTTTATCGTACGTCACGTGTTACATATACTATGGTAATAGTACAATGCGAGGAATTTCAAAGTACCCCCCTAAAATAGTACCCTCCTCCGTACATAGTACCCCCGGTACATCCCCCCGGGTACAATTCAAAAACTTGAGGTGTTCTATATATGTACCCGGGGTACTATATTCAGTGCTCTACGGTAACAGGCATCACGTAATGAGATCGCCATGAGGATTCTAATTTTAGTGTATCGTGAAGATGTGCCGAAGTTGAACAATCTAGCAGAATCTCGTGACAAGATTGCCAGGATACTAATAGAAATTTAGCAATTTGTTGGTGATATCATGACGAGATGTTTGCAATATTTTCTGATTGTAAATGTCACATGGTTATCAGCACAACGTCCTGCAAATATTAATATGCAAGTTTCTGTAAAGTAGTGGAAGACTTATTTCTAAGCTACCTGCTACGTGTACTGCTAATACCAATTTTAACACATCTACTACCTAAGTGAAACAAAGGATACAGTTTCTGAAAAGTCAACGTCTTCGGTTTCAGTTTTGACGTTCGTCAGCAAGATGCTTACTATTACCAAAAGTATTCAATAGACGTATATCTTATTCTTGCCAGTATTTCTTAGTGAGTATTGCTTAGTGAGGTACATTCTAACTCAATTGCTTTCCACTCACCAGAATATTATTCAGAACTCTTGTAACGATTGGTATGCTGTTTAGATTGGATAGGATAAACCAATACCTATACCAACCAATAAATTGTAAAGATCAGGTCACCATTTACGTGGGGGGACTGAAAAGTTTTGTGTGTGGCCCTCTAACTCGAGATTGCATCAGTTTAACTAAAAATTGGAATAATCATAAAATGCGCGTGCTTTCATGTAAAACAAAAGTAGAGGCAAATGCATTATCTCATTGTCGAGAAACTATTATTTTTTTTTTTTGTAAACCATAGTAAACCGGCTGGAAAAAAAAGAGCCGTAAGAGCTAACGATACTTTATTTTCGCTTCTTGGGAAATGCCACGAAGAGTTGGTGAACGTAGAAAAGGAACAAGTATTGCCTATTAGCACAATTAGACGCTGGATTGCTATATTCAAAGGCAGGTAAGAAGAAATTAAAGACAAGGCTTGTTTTGGACGTCCTCGCAAAGCCGTGACGTCAGAAAAATTGCCAAGGTCGAGGATATTGTTAGCAATAACCCGCGCATTTTTATTAAAAAATTAGCCAACGAAAGTGAAAAAATTTCCTACATTTTGCTAATGAGCTGAGCCTCCAGAAAAAAAGGGAAGAACGTCATGCTTCATTGCACCACATAAGGCAACGATCATAACGGAGTATATTTATCACGAACGTGTGGGAACTTTTCCCCCACTTGCCATACAGTTCAGACTGTATTCCTTGTGATTTTTTCTTATTCCCTCGAATCAAGAAAAACTGAAGGGGAAAAGATTTGATAAGGTTGAAATTTGGCAAGGGTTGCTCAGGCAGTTGCTGAAACCATCCAAAAAGCCGACTATTACTATGAGAAGTCTTTCCAGAATTAGCAGAATCGTCTGCAACGTTGCATGGAGAGTACTTTGAGGGAATGAAATAGTTGTATCGATAATTATTATGAAATTTCTGAAAATAAAGGTCCACGCGCAAAATTTTCAGCTCCCCCTCCACGTACACTCTTACAGGAAATCTGATGCACGGAATAGTGAACTGTCAGACATTCCGCAAACAACAATTTCATTAACGGCTAGCAATTAGGTTACAGAACACTGGTAATAAAAGTGCTCATACTGATAACTGTAAATTGTTCTATCAGAAGATGTACCTGTAAACGAGCAAACAACACTTGTAGCCCAAACTGTCACCCTAACAACGGCGTTTGTATTAATAACATTATAATAGGACGAAAGCATTTTGTTACAGTATAAAGAGTAAAGAGTTCTTCGAACGCGTATATGTTATGCAATATAAATTATTTTGTCAGCCCTAGCTTTTTGCAAGACCATTAGTGGCTTGTCAATAGTCCAGCATAGAAATTTATTAGTGGAATCGATAAAATAAAAACGTAGATAGTATATGTGAAAAAATAAATCATAAACAGATTTTGTCGTTCGGGTTAAGTTTTATCTCACGCGATAAATTTACTAATTTTCTCTGCACGCTGGTTCAATTGCACGTCTCTTTCCATTATAGTTCTCTCAAGGGATGCTGTGAGTCTCTCAATGGACCAGCACCACCCAATGCATCAAATATACCAGATAGCCTTAGCACCACCTCCATTCTGCGTCGCATTAGATGGTACCCCCCCTGCTCTATATATTGTTCTAATTCTTTGGTCTTGGCAGGGTATTGATTTTTATAATATTCTAACTGCTCTTAATTTCTCAACTAACTCCTCAATTATATTTTGCTTAGTTCTAACTCGTGCATTATACCCGTCGGTGGTAAAATTGGCATTATGGGTTATATTAGCATGTCTTTTCTTTCTCTTGCTCTCTATGCTGCTCTCTATGCTGCTCTCTATTCTGCTCTCTCTCCTGCTTCTCAGTATTGAATGGTTTAAAGCGTCCGACGGGTGGATTACAAAGTTCAAGAAGAAATATAACCTTCGTGAATATACGAAGCATGGAGAGGCGAGAAGTGCTCCATCTGACGAAGCTACGGCTGGATAGCTTTATCGATAAATAAGCTTTGTTGCTGTAATATCGTTGTCTACATGACATATGTATCATGTAACGATTGATATAACTGTTATTTTTGTTGAGTGCAATAAAGATTGTGACTAAGTCTTTCACTTACAAGGAATATTCTGATGACATTTATTATTAAGTGAATTTATAGTATGGAAAAAATCGCACTATAATGGAATTACACGTGCAATATTAAGAAGTCCATTATAACAAATCATGCACGTTATTGTGGACTCGCGTTATAATGGCATCCATGGGTTATGCCCAACTGTCTATTATAACGAGCTTTGACTGTATTATTAAACATGTTTATATATTCCTAAAACCATCTACTTCTTTAAAAATATCATTCTCCTTGTTGGTTTAATCAATGCTAATGTCATCTCTTTAACAGAAATTTTAAGTACGTTACAGTCAATAAAATAGCGATTTATCACAAAGTACCACTCCATGCATAGTACAACGGGGTTGTAAAATACCACTGGTATATATAGGACGTCAATTTGTTAATTTCCCATAGTAATGGGACCATATAATAATATGAATCCATAAACGAACACAGTCGGAACCGCCAAATTATGTTCTACGAGAGGTGTTAGTAAAAAGCGAGAAAATATTTTATTGGAAAATCTTGTTTGAAAATATTTTATTGAAGAATTTAGTATTTGGTTAATTGGAAAAATTTACCCTTAAATTATTTGTTTCACGATGAATAATTCGACAAATGGAAATACCTCCTTATTTGGATAAATTTGTTCGTACCCCTTACCAAGATATTTGTGCAATCATTTAATATACTTTATTTATAGCAACATGATTATTTTTTATACATTTCAATATCATATTATGTTATTACATTATTATTATATATGATTACTTTATACATATTCGTTATCTAATATCAGGAATGTTTCGGGAAGAAATTATCAGAAGAGACTTCTGGAAACCATAAAGCCTCTGGAAAAATTGACGCCTCTGGAAAAACCGATGCCTCAGTAGCCACGGAAATATCTGGACTTTCCATAGAAGAAACGGTTATTTCTCCAAAATTTACGGCATCCTCGGGAATGGAAGATACCATTGAAGGACAAGACGAAGGAACGCCGAATCCACTATTGACGTCTTTTTGCCCATTCAAAGCCAATACAAGAAGCCGTTCCAATTTATCGATACGCGCTTGCATTCTTTCTTCATACTTTTCGATACGGGAACGAAGCCACTTGATTTCGTTATTAAGAATTATACATCGAGGACATGAAGATCCCCGCGAAACAGAAGGAGCAATTGAGGAAATGGATCAGTATCATCCTCCGAAGAAGAAAGCAGTTCTAAACCCGAATTATGGGCATATCTTGGCTTTTTATTAGCAGAATGAGAAATGGCAAAGTGTCTTTGTCTTCTTTTGTTAGACATATTATTGAGAGAGAAAAGGAAATGAGTTAAGGAGTAAATTTAGAAGGCGAGAACGGTCAGATGATCACTTAAATGTACTACACAAACATGTAAATATTTAGAATAGCTATGCCGCAGTAGGAATAATGGAATAGCTCTTACGGTGGAATAATACTTGTAGGTTCGAATAAATACGATGGAAAACAACTAATAAACTTACGATTTGAAATATTCAACTGACATTCACTATGATCCCTAATGTCTTTAATGGTAGAAATTCAGTTTGGTAATCTCTAGCTTTCGGCAATATGCTGAACTTATTTAAGTTTACAGCTTAATCAGTTGTACGAACGATTATCGATGAAATCCCAGCAACGTTCTTATAATACGATCATACCTAAGGACAACAATAACAACACCGCCCGTACAACACTACTGCAATAATATAATCTTCAAGATTCTGAACAAGCGTTTGTGCCTTCGCTGGCAATTCATCAAGTAATATCTGTCGATCGAACATCCCCCACGGGCCACGCGACGACTTACGAACCATACTGCGAGCACATAGACCAGAAAACGCCCTTTCCTGCGCTCCTCCAGGTTCGGAGTATCGTCTTCGACGAGGTTTTAAGTGGTTGTCAAGACGAGCGCAGCCTGCGAGTGATACATTGGAGGTCCTCAGCCCTCACGTACGCTAAACTGATTCTCTCTTTTAGCGTAGAAGAGAACGTTGGAATAGAAACATTGTATAATTATTATGCATGCTGACGTGTTATTGATGTTATTTTTGATTTTCGAGTGCATAGCACAAAAAATTGGTTACTTGTTCCTTCGTGATGTCTCCGAAAAGCATGGTTGGAGTGCATAACATACAGTAATTAGACTAATAAGACTTTTTTAATTTATGAAAACCGTCATTACAGTAGGTAAATTTTGAAAGATTGTCAACAAAACGTATACTCACAGTATTTAAGGATTAGGGTGTCTGAATATTTATCTTGATGATTTGTGCAACTACTCAAATAAATTAATAATGTAATTAAAAATCCTTACCCTAAACTATGGAGAATATTACGTGAGAACGCCAACATTATTGCATCTAGAAAAACGGTCAAACTACAAAACAAATTTACCAAGGGTTGAGAGTTGTTGAAAGATCCAATGCACTGTCTGAATGCACTATTTCAGTATTTGCTGGTGGATTGAAGCATATTTGAAGATGGAGATGAGAACATTATAATTAAAGATGACTCCCTGCTTGCGGCATTCTCGTGAAACTGTTGCCTGCAAAAAAATTGCAAAGGTGGAGAAACTGATAAATGATAATCCCCCATAACTGTAAGAATGATAGAGGAGCAAATTGGGATTTCTGAAGAAAGAATTGAGTACATCTTACATAGTCAACTCGATTTCAATAAAGTGTGTTCAAGATGGATTTCATACGTCATGACAATGCACCACCTCATAATAATAAAGCAGAAGTTGCTTAAGGAGAGAAAGAGTCTAATTAATGCCACATCTTTATCACAATCCAGATCTAGTTTCTTGTGATTTTTTAGAATAAAGAGCAAAAAAAGTTTTAGAAGATTGAAAGTCTTCCACAAGCTGTCCAGGCAGTCTCATGACATATCAAAAAGAGGGTTACTATAAAGCCTTTCTATTTCAGAATTGGTAAAAAAGGCTGAAACATCGTATAGAAATAGGCAGGGAGCAATTTGAAGGGATGCAACAATCTATTTTAAAACTATTATGTACATCTTCAAGAAATAAATATATTGTCAAAACTTTTACGTAAATGAATTCTAGTATACCATAACTCTACAACGTTGATACACATGCAATATCGAGATAAAGATGTAACTACGCGTATCAAGAGGACGGTTTGCCTTTACAGACAACACTCCCAATGCATTCTGTCAAAAGGATAAGCCAGAACTAAAAAAATATTTACTGTTATGTGGGCTATAATTCTTTATCTTGGCATCTGGTTTCGTGTCTTATATTAATCTGTCACGCGAATTGTAGCAATGCATAGCGTTCCATTTATTTTCAGTGTTACGTTTAGAGTCTCCGACCCGCAACGCAGGCCGGCCGTAAGGGAAGAGTGCGTACTGTATCATAATACCATTCTGTCGCACTGTTTATTTGATCGGCTTTGGGACTGTTTCTGTCTTAACATTTATCCCCAGGTTACAAATGTTATGTGCAAATCCGGTTATGCAGATACAGATGCTTTACAAGCTGTTACAATTCTGCGAGTAGCTTGACATTTAACTTTTCGGGCGAGTCCCCATCTACGTTTGACTCATCTACCAAGAATTTGGCTGGGCAAACACATAATCTTTAATTCTTTAGTAAAGTTTGGGCATTGTTTCTTTTGGGTTGCAAAGCTGTTAAAGACTCTATTGGGCGATTAACCATTACATATTCGCCGAATGCTCCCTGCAACTTGTACATGGGTAAATTACTATAATGCGATTGTTTTTGGCCTGGAAGTTTACTATCATAATAAGATTCTTTAACTTGGGCCGCCTCCAAACTTCTCCTCATAACCAGGCACTTCCCATTGGCCTCGTTTCATCATTTTCTCTAGAGCCACATTAATCTCTGGTTTTGCTCCAACTACATCGGCAACCTAAGGACAGAGAAAATACATGAATAAAAATAATTTATGATATAGCAAAAGATGAGACGTAATCGTCGATTCGTACCGTGAGATCTTCGAACGGTCGCGCTTGCTCAATGTTGACAAGCGCTTTTTGTAGGTCATTAAGTTCAGCATCCACTTTTGAAGCAGTTCTTTGGGCTTTAGCAACCTTTACAAAAAAAATTTGTCCGTTTGAACGATGAATTTATGGACTTAACGTAGAGCGTGATTTTATAATGTTTAATCTTACCGCTTTCGCTTCAAATTCGTCAATTATTTTTAACTGTTTGGCCAAGTCAACCTTATTTGGCTTGAACGCCTTCAAATTCTTTTCTGCTTCATTTACGATTACCGAGTTCTTCAATAACTTTCTATAATGCTCGAAATCTACATCAGTCTTTTGTTCCTTAAGCGCAGTGACAACTCTCTTTGCTTCTTCGTTACGCTTACGAAAAGCAATCAAAGCAGCAACTGTCTCTTTCTGTAAACCCAGGGAGACAGTGAGCTTTGTCCAGTCGAGAGCTGCAACGGCGCGAGAGGTTGACATTTTTTTTTTTGAAGATGACGAGAGTTGGTTTGATGAGTACGAAGTATTGAATGTGACACGTGATTATCTGAAGTTTCGGTTTTCACAATTACACTATTAACTTTTTCAACAACTCTTTCATTCAAAATGGCTACAAGCGACGTTCGAGACATACTTCAGATCAGCAGGCCTGCCCCAAGTGCAGAGGGTACACCGAAGAAATCAACAAAGCCCGAAAAAGAAAAGAAACCTGGTTTGTGTTATTTTGACAAGGTTTGCATAACCTGTAGCTAGATCTAGAGTGAGATTGTCGGCGAAGTGACCCTTGAGGGGCCTCTTTAATCGAGGAATAATAATCTTTTTTCCTTTAGGAGGTCACTACTGCCACGTCAAACTCTTACTATGTTACTTTTGTTGATAGTTGTTGTGTAGATTAACCATTAGCGTATCAATGCGACAGTATTTATTTGCTTCATTTTCAATTGATGCCGTAATTAATATATTCAACGTGTAGAGGGTATAAGCCGGGAACTATTCCAACTTATTGGTGGAGCGCCGCCTGTTGCATTCACCAAACCAACATACAAACAGAAGCCTAACCTAAGACTCAAGGCAGCACATTGGTTAGTTCATAAGTGAGGTTGCTTTTGAATCTATTCTTTCCATGTACTGAGATCGATATTACAACAAAGGGAGCTGCGCGAATTTGTTCATCCTGGACGAACAGATCAATTGGCTTTACTTCGGTGGACGAAGGATATAAATAGTAATATCACTGGTAATGTCTTCACTATAATTGTGTGAGACATATTCTATTTGTTGGACTGCTGACATATTGCAATGCTTTCGCATACCACGGAGAAGATGGTTTGCAGGAATTTCAGAATCTTGAGGTTGTACAGTATACGGACGAAGAGTATCATAAACATCTCCTAGGTAATTGGAATTTCGATAGAGACTTTGGTTTATGACCACAGTATTTGCTAATTTTCATCTGATATCAAAGATCGTGATTGGACAAAGGAAGAGACCGATTATTTATTCGATTTATATAAGCGATATGATGGAAGATTTATGATAATATATGACAGATATGAATGTCCTGGGAAGAGAAGAACGATGGAGGTGATATACTCGAATTTCAAAATTTCTTACAAGTCACGCACTTTACGAGTATTTGGATAACTAATCGCACGATTTTCATCAATAAAAGGATCTAAAAGATCGCTTTTATTTCGTACAGCGTAAAATAATACAACAGCGGCCCGGACAGGATAAAGCTGAAATCGCAAAATACAATTACGATAAAAGTATGTATCCATTTTTCCATAGTTTCTTATCTCTGCTTATCGCAGTCCATTTATTCAATTTTTATCTTTTAGATAGAGAAGTAGACAGAAAGAGAAATCTATGCATGTTATTCACTCGTACGCCCGATCAAATCAAAGTACGTAATCGCTACACATTATGAATATTTCGCGTGAGTTAAGCATAACTAAAGCTTAAACAATCTCTAGGAAGAGGAATCCTTGTTAGAGGAATACGAACGTATAGAACAAAATGAGAAGAAATTCGCCAAAGAACGCGAGGCTTTAATAAAATCACTCGCATTCCAGGATATATCAACAGCAGTGGTAATGCCGATAAACTTATTGACCGTCCTTGTTCTGTCAGCATGTATATGCACACGAAACTATTTATCTTTACCCTATCCGATGTACATATGTATGCATGTATATCTAACATTGTCTCATTACAATCATGACTAGAAACGAAAACGATCAATGACGAACGGCTCATCCGCACCCGCAACTGAAATAGTCACGCCAGTGATTTCAGTGCCAGCTTCGGAATCATTACCCAAGAAGAGTAGAAGAGCATCTGCATCATCGGTTGGGACGAGTGCCGTTGTTGAGGGTATTTATTTTAAGAGTTTGAATGCATTCTCTTGCATGCGATATATCCAATTCAAAATTTATCATCTATTGAAGCTCATCCACCTGTTGAACATGTACGACGAGAAAAATTGCCTCCTGGTGTAATTGTTCGTAGTCAAAAGATTCCTCAAGTCAAACAAGGGGCTATTACGAAAGTTAGCAAGTATTTACAGGAAGCTGGACTTGGTAAGCAAAATACATTTATTATACGGTTAGCAGTTGGTAGAATACCAACAAGTAGATACAAAATTTGTTGTGATCTATAACAGCACATAATATCAGACTAACCTTTTCTACGCTGAAATTGCCGCATTATTCCAACAGGTATTCGGCCATCAATGCCCACAGAAAATGTGTGTGCCAAATGGATCGAGTTACAAAAGGCAATTGTCAGTCTTCACGATCTAAAACGACACGTTGAAAAACAAGAACATGAATTGAAGACGAAGAAGCAATTACTCGAAAAAGCCAAGGCAGCTACAGGAGGAAGCAGTAGTAATCAAAATTGGTAGCCGATAAACTTTTGTTTTGCATGCTAAAGACGGACGATGTGTTTTTTGAAATAAAATTCTATGTGTAATCAATTGACATGTGGTGGTCTTTGAGCTTGCATGTACGACAAATTATGTATCATTGCATATTAATATTGAGTGTACCAACAATAATAAAGAGCTTAATATGATCGGCCATGACGAGATGTAAATCAGCTGCAGGGATTTTTTGTGCGTATTGTGGAGTGCAGAGAAACTGGCGAGAATTGGGTCATTTAATATCTCACCGAATACATTGAAACGAATTCAGCGTTTTATTAGACGCTGGTAACAGTAACTACAATTTCATTCCAATCTTGTACCGCAACGCTCAATTGCATCCATTGTCATACAGTCTAAATTATTGCACACAGTATGAATTAGAATAAAAGAAAATAGTCAAATTTTATTGCGAGTAAGAATTGGGCAGAAAAAAAAATAATGATAGGGAAAAAATACTAGGGGAATAAGACTTTTAGGATATATTTTAGATGGTATTTTTGTACCAACAGAGAAGAAAAGAAAAAGAAATAAGAAATAAGAAATCCTTTTTAGAGAACAATAATATCACGCTATTTTTAGACATAACTACAATGGACTTTTCTTTTTTAGTTAAAATGATAGGGAAGAAGTTTAAATGATATGAAAAAAGTCTATGCCAAAATCGGGGAGTAAAAGATAAAAAAAAAATATACTACAAGAAAAAGGTCAAACGTTATAGGAGAGACAAAATAGGACTTTTCGATTCAACAATTAAATCGAACGAGTTGGAAAGGAAAATATACCAGCCTCGGCTGATATAAAGAGGAGAACAAAGTTCTTCCTTTTTTTTTTGTTTTTTTTTTTAATCAAATCACAAATCGAACAAATTTCTTCACAATAAAAGAGATTCGATAGTATTCAAAAATCGAGTATAAATTGAAATAGTACATGCCATGTCATGATCATATCCATGTATATATATAAATAGTATATAATATTAGAAACCTTATAAAGTCATATCAGCCGTCCTTTCCATGCTGGCTTTTTTTTTTCTTCATATTGCTCTATCTATTTTTTGTATTTTCTCAATTATTAATTGCATATATGCAAGTATCCAAGCTAATTTCACTTTTCCATTACTAGCAAAAACACATAAAGACATTGTGTATAAATAGTAAGATGTATAGTGAGACTTTTAGCAAACATTAACATTCTCATGTAGCAGAATGTATTAAATAAGTGTATATAGGATCACATTAAAGGCGCGTGATGTGATGACCTCATTAGGAACCAAAAGTGTGGGGGTGGGGTAAGAGAAAGGTGGGGAAGAAGAACTTGTGGATTGAAAAGACAAGCAAGAGATTTTATGGCCAAGCATTCCAAGACTCATCTGGTTTCATCAACATAGCTTGCTGCTGGTCAAACGCAAATCCCAAACCCGCCTGAGAGGCCAAGACTCCATTCATCGCATTGGTCGAAGCTGGGGGTTGATCAGCATCCTGAGTCATTCCCCCATTATAATTAACACCCATCATACCCATAGGCACGTCCATATTCACATACAAAGGATTAACGAATTCTCTGTTGACAGCTTGTGCGGGTTGCGCAGACTGTTGGAATCCTTCAAATTCCGTAGTAGTGGCAGGTGCTGAAGATGGAGTTTGATAGGCAAATTCTGTGGTAGTAGCTGGAGCGGAGGATGGCTCTTGTGGACCAAAATAGTCTTGCTGGGGCGATGTCTGTTGATTGTCCATCATAAGCATAAAAACATGTTCATCCATTGGCGTACTTGCTTGACCTACAAAGCCGGGACTGGGAATAGCAGCGTTACTGAACTGCCAGTCTTCATTAGCTCCAAATGGGAAACTTCCACCGTTGAATCCGGCAGACGATCTGTTCGGATGCATCCTAGGACTATTGGGAATGCTAACACTAGTGTATGGGCTGTAGCGTCGAGAATGAGCGGGCGGGCTAGAAATATGGAGATTACCCAGGCTATGCTGAAGTGATATGCCAGATGGCGATGTTGGGGACGAAATCATTTGACCGAATTGACCACTCGTCAAGCTGATGTTACCAGTGTTCCCGAGCTGTTGGGGTTTAGGCTTGACTGTTTGCTGCTGCAGATTCTGTGGATTCTGTGGATTCTGTTTATTCTGTTGCTGTTGGATTTGTTTAGCCTTCAGATGAGTCATTTCTTCTTGCAACCTTTGCATCAAAACTGCCTTCTTTCCAGTTGCGGGTTTACCCCTTTGACGTAACATGTCTTTCAATTCGCTTACAGTAATATCCTCAAAGTCGACCTTTTCCAACTCTTCGTCCAATTTTCTCTGATATTCTTCCGACGACATTGGTGTACTGTTGTAACTATGTTTATGGCTCCTTGAGATTTGAATAGGCAGGGCATTGAGTCTACGAGGAGTTTGTGGGACATTAAATGGGAACGGCTGGACAGTTTGAAGAGGCATAGCACCGGATATCCCCTGGGGATTGAACGCTTGTGGCGCAGAGAGAGATCTCTTGCGTGTATGACCACGCCGAGGAGGAGCAGACGGTTTGTTGTCTACATGAGATCCGTTATCAGGTGAGAATGTTGGAGTACTTGGAGTAGAAATGGAAGATCCCAATTCCATTCCACTGGATAGAGCGCTGATGACACCTGGCAACATGGTAATCTTTGATTGAGTAGTAGCGGAAAGGATGTTTGGGTTTGCATGAATATTAGGCATTCTCTGAGGCTTCTTATCCAATCTGATTTTAAACCTAGCTGTAAATTCTGACTGCTTTTGGGCGTGTTTGATTTGCTCGCCGTCTGGTGTGGAAGGGTTTGATGAAGATGAATGCTGCTGTTCGTTATCGTTAACTTGACAATTGCCATTGCTGGTAACCTGAGGATCGATGATCATATTGCCTGAAGCATGTTGAAAGGCAGCTTGCGGTTCCAATTTTATGCCATGAGATTGTAATTGATCCTCAGTCTCAATAACTTCGGTTACAGTTTGAGTCCGTGCAAACTGAGAACGATCAAATTGGCATGCCGATTGTTGTTGATTCCCAAATACGGTCTTTCTCTGAGTCGCCTGGTATTTTGCCAGCGCATGTATGTTGTCTGCTGAAAGACTGCGACGACGCATGTGCAAGTAATGGGGTGCGTTCATCCTGGGATGCGGACCTGGGGTCTGAGCTCGAGGTAGTTGGTCATTGACGATCATGTTCGCATTGTTGGAAAGAGATTGAGCTGGCGATTCGGCGAGCTGAGAGGCCTGTTGCGATGATATGAGCTGCCAGGCTGGGTCGCCGATCATTGGATTATCAGTCATCAAGTCGCTATCATAAACATTGACATCAGCCATTCCAGTTAATGCGTCCGAGTAAAGTGGCCATTCAGCAGGTAGAGCGCTCTGCGGCATACTACCATCCAATGACTGTAGAGCAAAGGCATTGGAAGAGAGCATTAGCTGGGACGTGTTGAAATTGATATCGTCCAATTGCTCTTGGCTATAAGGCGGCTGTTGTTGCAGTTGGTCTTGTATAAACCCCTGGTCGACAAGCTGGTCCTCAGCCGGAGGATGAAATGGCTGAGTGAGAAGACTTTCAGAGTGGTTTCGTTGGGAGTACATTGGCGTAACAGCGGTAACAACGTAATAATATGGTATTAAATGAACGGGGAGTAGTCGTTGTTTTCGCAGAAAACTTTAAAAAAGGCACTCGGAAGGCTTTTGAGGAGTGAATCTAAAATTGAGTGATGGTAGATTAGAGAGTAAGTATTGAACATGTGTGGAATATAGGAGATCGTTTTATAGAACAGAGTTATTTAAGGAAATGAGGGTCAGATTATATTATCAATGAAACAGGTATTTTGAAGGCAAATAAAAGATGGCAGAGAAATAACTATATACACATGTGAAAAAGATATGTACCGAAGGGACAGTTGGTATGTGGAGCAGTACAGATGGCACTTTCTAGTTAGTTGACAGTGAGCGTACTTGTCGGAGTACTTCTAAGATTCCTATTACTTATTCTTATTATCCGTATTATTATCTCTTCTATTCGTAGGAATGACGTGTTTGCTAGGTCGCAAAGTAAATGACTTGAGATATGCCGAAGATACAAAAAAGAGTGTGTGTGTAGGTATCTGTCGTATAATATCGACAGCAGTGAGGGCCGAGTGGACTTTATGGACTCTAGTTGGATTCCAATAATAATATATCCACAAACAGACAGGCGTTAGAACGGACAGTGAATATAAAGAGAGAAAGTTATTGGAATGGGTGTAATATTTATATATATATTTGTGTGTGTATATATATATATATATATAAGTATATATGTATAATTACCTACTACTGATAAACTCAGCCAACAGTATAAGTATTAAAATAATGAACAACAGAGCATCAAATATATATAGTAAGTGAGTGACGAATATAAAATGAGGAGTGAAGTAAAGAATGTTCTGTCCTTTATCGAAGTAAAGGGACTTTAGGGAATGAGAGGTATGGCGAGATAGAGAAGGGAAGGATAGGGAGAGTAGTACGATACGCACAGTGATGGACTGTTATGCTGGCCGGCTAGTGTTTTATAGAGAAATGAGATGGAAGGAATAGGACGACTTATCGAGACGGAATGTGACAATAGTGTTACATTGTGGCCTGTTTAATGTTACCGTTTTGCCGCTCGTGGACGAGTTGGGTTTAGATTGAAATAACAGAGGATAAATATATGACGTTGGTGGTGGTGGTGGTGATAATGGAGTCGTAACAGGTCGTTAAACTGATTGTGGATATCGGCTGCCTTGCCGTAATGGTTATTTCCCCCGCTGGTTTAGAGTTGTCCGACTGCTCTCGCGTGGGGCTAATAGATTCGACAGTGCGACTATGGCTGGGTCTATTTTGGGATTGATTCACACTGCAGGTCCTTGATGGTTAAAATAAACTTTAGTAAATGAGACAAACACTTTTATTGTTGAAAATAGCTTTTAGAAAATCCTTTCCTGGATTTTGTGTTCATGCATAGATATCCGCATTTCCAATTTGCATCCAGAGAGCATTTTTAATTAATGACAAAGTTAATACAACAATAGCAAAAAATGCCAGCTTTTGGTACTAACGGCATCTACTGATGATAGAAGAGCAACCATGTTACGATTGTATCGATTTCTAATCGCAATGCCGATGTGACAAGATTATTAGGAGCAATAATAACGCAAATCTGGGACAATAACATAAGTCCAGAATAATCCATGGAATTGCCTGATAGAGACATTCTGTTATGAAATGGTGCCGTCGATATTTTAACCTTTGTAAGTGTTTTTTAAATATAACATGCTTAAACTCGGATACTCATCAAAGCGGAACCAATAGCATTGTGATAGCCATGTTAAACAAGTCAGGTTTCATTTTTTCACTCGCCGTCCGCATACCTAATTGAATGTTTATTTGTAATTGTAATCCGAGATAGTAATTAAAATTCTCACTCATATCCAATGGTTGACATTATATCATTGTATTACGTAATCTAATAATAAGATTTGATAATATAAATATTACAGTAATAAATATTTGTATGGTCATATTCCCACGCTTTCTCTGCCCCATCATCCAAAAGAACGTGCTGTCCCACTTTTTAATCAATTAGTAAGTATCGGTATTAGGCGTTTAATCCGCTAAAAAGTTTTATCTATCACATGAGTACAAGCCAAGTCGTTAAGAAAAAAACCACTATTACCCGCTACATACACCCCTTATACTTTTGCTTATTCGTTTAGCTTGGTCACAATTGGCCTCCTGACTCTTTTCCTTTGACATGGTCATTATTTTATTATTCGCTTTGAAAACAAACCTGATGTAAAAATGGGGATTTAAACTGACAAGCTAACCATTTTCCACTCAACCGTAATTGGGTTAATCGCACTGATGATCGACAAGACATTAATAAATAACCCCCCATATCTGAATGTATTACGTATACAAGCTGTACCTCATTTATTTATACCCATATTAATATCCTTTAGTCTCGAGATCCGCGTTCACCTAGTCCTGTTGCTACTACTGCTATTATAATTAAACAATAAATCATATGCATTAGTGTATAAGGGTTGACCATAATAATAACGATAATTACTATATTAATACATCGATGTCTGTTGTTGATAATTCTAACCTAATAATGCTACGGAAAATTAACGACCAATCAGCAAACGTTATGCAACGTCAACTAATTAACTTGAGCGTTAATTATTTCTGGGCATGTATTTTCCCGATGATTGGCCATTTCCGTAGCGTTAGAAAAGAACACTGGAATCCGAACGTCTTCTTTTGTGCTCATTTCGCCCACTCGGCAGTCTTTAATTGTCTCTATTGTATTCAGTACACTGTAAATGTATCTCAATGTCCTATCCCCAAAATCCAATCATCTTCGATTTCGCCAAACCTTCATATGTCAATCTTATTATGATCGTGCATCACCCCAAGCAAATTCATTGTTATACAAATGACTACGTTTCTATTTATATACAGGTCCTACTCGGTTATTAGCCATATTTGATCATTTGTCGAACCCAACGACGGATTATTAATGAAGGAATAATAATTAGGTACTCAGCATTAGATCGTGGAAAATCAGAACTTGAAAACTATAATATATCCAATATTAGTTTTAGGCATGCGTAGCAAAATAGGAGGTAGACTTTTCTGATAGGAAGCTTTCCCGAAATCACTTTGGCCAAAATTCAATAACAATATATAATAATAATACTTGTTCGAGAAACTTTGTGACTGGATGTCTGTGAGAAATCAATCAAACAAGAAAGTTCAAAGATTACATTTGATACGACTTGTTGTAAAATTAATGTTAAGCTTCAGCTTATGACTTAATCGAAGATCAAGTGTTTTACAACTTTATCATAATAATGCGGGTTTTAAACCATATTGGTTGGCCACAATTTCACTTCTAGCAGCAAATAAGTTTAAAGGAGAAAAGTGTCAACTGGAATATAGCGCAGATTCCACTAAAGCAACTAAACTATAACGATGAGTTTGGGTCACATGCAATCGAATCTCGTTTTATTAAACTAAGAAAAGTTTGTATCAAATACAGTATATTGTTGCAATTCATATTCAGATTCTTGAGAAAGAACCGAAAACAAAGTCTATTAACCCGAATTACGTGCAATATGTTAAGAAATGTTATTTGCTTCAATAGCTAATGTTAAATTTACATAGTGTAGCTTGGAAAATAAAGTCTCACACATTAAAAGATGGCTTTTCTAATACTCACATATAATCGGACTGTAGTTTTATCTTATTGCATTGTCATACGATCTTAATCTCTTAATTGACCATTAATACCATGTTCAGTGTGGGTATTGTTTCGCCTTATAAACGCACTTTGCGCGGACCAGGATAATGCATTGGACGGTAGCATTAACTCTATGATAACAGCCCCCTCTTCTGCTACCAAAATTTCCGCTAGCTTCATATTTTGCTGTCTAAACTTAGCCTCTGAGTTAACAACGTCACTAGGGCATAGTCCTTTTTTGATGATATGTAAAAACTTTATTATTATTAACTGTTTTTAAGGCATACATTTTCAATCGGATTCAAGTCTGAGCTGTATAAAGGCCAAGGAAGAACTCATCGTTATCTTGTTGGAACAGTTACGACCATGTAATGCATTCGCGTTGTAAGATTTTCCGATATAAATGACGATCTAAATTTTCGGTGAATTACAACCTTTCCATTAGCACTAATCATGAGCCATGTACAGATGGTGTTGCTAAACATCTGGAGTGTTGTTTCATCGGAAAAAATAACTTTCTTCCAATTGTAACGTGAATAATCACAAGCTTCGCTCTTTGGGTCAAGAGAGGCACTTTTCTTGGAAGAATAGAAACATAACCGAGATTTTTGAGCTCACGACGCATGTACGTTCACTGACTTTAAGTGTATAATCTTTTTTCGCCTGCTGTGGTGAAATGGTTGTGTTTCAAGATTTTTCCAATATGGTGGCGTTTTAGAGGGACAACTTTCTTGGACGACCGGGTGAATAATTTATAGAAAGATTGTCAGTTTTATTCAATATACTAACGTATCGTACGCATGAGCGTAATAGTAAAGGAATTCCCAATTGTTGGGAAAATTCTTTCGTATTACGCACGTTTTGTTGCCAAAGCAACTTAACGGCGTTTCGTTGTATTTCAAGAGGACTTGGCAGGTAAAAGTGAAATATAAACAATAACAAAGATCGTTGTTTACTATTACATTTTAAATTAACACTTTATTATCCAATTTGGTAATATAAGCAAATGGCCTAAAATCAGAAAATGGTGACGTTACGGTTAAAAAAAGACGCAGTATTTCTACGCCATTCTTTTCGCCGGGGACTGTAAAACTTGTAAGGCACAGTTTTTTGTTAAAATCTTTATGGATTGTTAACGTTCATGCTTTAAAGAGTATTGCCTGCAACAATGTTTTATGAATACACATAACTTACATATAATACGTACAAGGAGGAAAAACTACTGGCAAAGTTTAAACACTTGTGGAATATGAACTTTGCGGAGTGGTCCTTACAGTGTTACCAAAAAAAACTATTGATTGTTGTGCTACAACGGTTAGAGTAATGAATGAGCTTTATACTTTATTTAATAGCTTATGAGCAGAGGTTTTATTGCCAGAGTAATTTTTTTTTTTCACAAATATTTCCATAATTAGCGTACGTTTTTATTTTATCGATCCACTAAATTGCATTTTATCAGAAATAGAATTTCATTCTTCCACAATCTTTGGTTATACTTTTTTGGCTAGACCACTTGCACTGTGGATTCAAACTTGATCGAGATATTTTGTGATCAAATCTGATGCAAAAAGCTAGGGTTGAGCAAAACAAAGATTTGAATTGTTTGACAGTTTTAAAAAAAACTGTAAGTGTTTACATCAAAATGTAAAAAAAAAAAACCCCCCCAAAAAAACAAAATAATTTATATTGCATAAAATATACGCATTCGAAAAGCTTCTTTTTTTCGTAGCACACTGTATACAAGTTTATTGTTAGTATTAAAAATTAGTATTCTTTTAAGCGCTCTTGCTGACAACGTAGCTTGGTGGGCGACTGTGTCACGTAGCTTAGAAAATAACCTGAGCCTTGTCAACTGAATGAGCCTGCTTCATTTCATCGACAATACAGTTCGTCGACAGCACATTTTACCGACAATCATTTTACCGACAGTCATTTCGCCGACAGCTAATTTGCTTATTATAATAAGGATTGTAAAGACAACGCGGGATTATGAAATTAGGTAAGGATGTCAAAAAGATATGACTGTATCTACGTAATTTAGAAAAGTGGATAGGAAATTTACGGCACTTATTGGTTACAATTCCTATTGTGATGATAATTATTAAAGCAAAATTAAATATAAGCATTAAATTTACTGTCGGCGAAATGACTGTCGGCGAAATGTACTGCCGGCGAAATGACTGTCGACGAACTGTACTGTCGATGAAATGAATGCCTCCCATCTAACGAAGTGTGAAAAAATCATTTTGCAAAGGCGCTGAATGGGATTGCCCTTTTCTTATTAATAATAATAAATTGAATTATCATCCAACAATAACTTTATTCTCATCGTACTGTTTACATCATTTATGACATCTACAATTATTTCATTATTCTGGATAATTAAATCCTATTCTTATTCAGCGTCTTGCCATCTTTGTTTATGAAGAACACGGCTTGTCTTTTGCAGCTTCTTATTTCACTCCGCTAAGTTTGTTGATGACAGAGATGGATTTGTTGTACCTCAGTTTAGGACCTGTCTCAGTTCTGGACCGAGACAGCTGAGTTCTAGACTGAAATTGTTTCAAACTGAGGTACAACAGATTAATGTAATCGATAGTATAAGTTACCCGCGATAGTAAGTATAACATGTTTGATTTAGATGAATCGTTATTTTTATTGGAAACCAGAGTCGAAGAACAAATATACTAATTGTATTTAACCTTGGACAAAGAAACAGTCTGTTTAATTTAATAGGTGTTCAAGTGCAGCTTAATTGGATTATAAGAAGTTAATTTATTTGACTATTATTATAACTTAAATACATTATTTATTAATGTACACATACTGGCCAAAAGTATTGGTCACTTACTAGTAAAACATAGTAAACCCCTTTAATTTTATCGTCCATGCGTACCATGCAAGTTCTGCACCGTTTTGAAGCTAATTGATTGTATTTTTCGAAAATAATAATGACATATTCAGTCCTGTTTTAAAGCTGCAGTTTGATAAAGTGGTGATTCATGTTACACATATGAAAATTATATTAATATGTGTAAGATAAATACGCCACTTCATCGGACTATTCCTTCATTACAGTAGATAATTTAAGTCCCACACTGATTTTTTTTTTTTCTCGAAAAATACAATCAATTAGCTTCAAAACGGCGCAGAAATCATTGCAACTTGCATAGTACGCATGGACGATAAAATTAAAGGTTTTTACTATGTTTTACTAGTAAGTGACCAATACTTTTGGCCAGTATGTGTACATTGTTATTACATTACATACCGTATCTTAAATTAATAACAAAATTGACAAGATTGCTAAACTTTTGTGGTGCGCGTTTTATTTATTATTCACTCTTTTTAGAATGTAGCTAATGGAACGCTAGGAGGTTAAAATCTTAAATTTCGCCAGCAAACAACATGTAATCTCGTTCTATAACGCAATTTTTTTCTAATAAACAGCGTGTTCTTAATTTATTCGCACTGATAGAGCGTGAAAACGTTAATTACTCTATCAGTGAATAATCGATCTGATTCATCGATTATCAAATACGATTGCTAATTAATTGTCTATAATGACTTAGAATAGATAATAGTTTCCCCGATAGAAATAAGCTTTGCCAGGCCTCGTTTGAAAAAGCTCGATCTCCAAGGTTATTATCGATAAGTAAGCATTTTTATTAATGGCTGGAATGGCTGAAAAAAACAACGATTAAAATCATTATGTCGATGGACCCGTAATAGTAATAATAATAAACGCGAATATTTTACTTCCAAACATGTCCTCCCAGAAGAGGAAAGCAACGTCTGCTAGACGTAATCCATCCACACAGGGTGACAAAACATTTGCCACAGGCTAAGAGAGGTCCCATTACACAATTGTGCCTGGTTTTGGTAAATGACATTGCAAAGGCTTTTGAAGTCAACCTTGAAAAAAACACGCTATATTACTGTATTCAGAAAGGGTAATAAACCAGGTTTTGACCATGTCCCAGCAAAGAACCTGGATATTCCAGTAAGCAATGCATTCGTACATGGACAATGAGCAGTGGGCATCATTCTGGAAATCTGAAGCAAAAATTGAAAATGTGTTCAGTGCTTTACCTAATTAAGACAATCTCCATGTCATTGTTGAGGATTACCTGGGTAAGTGTCAGATACTCTGATTTGCAGTAAATTAATGGCCATTGTTCAAGGAATATTTATTGTAACTATTTGCACTGACCACTAATTATCACACCTTCGTGTTTCTGTGCAGCTTGATGAGGGAGATATGTTTATACATTTAGCAATGGGAAGTCTACAGAGTTTTCATTCAAAATTAATCCCACCTTAATTGACACGTGCGTATAAGCCTTATAATTTGTATACATTTTTTTACAAATTAGAACCAGCGCTTTATTCCAGACGTGTACCTATCTACATTGAAAAAATAAGTAGTATTCAACATCTAACCTGTCATTAGCGAGACATGTCATGTACACTGTGTCAGTAGAAATAATACTCGTACAAAGATTATTTTGGAATATAAACTTTGTGCTTAAACTGGTTTGCAACTGTTAATTAAGAAGCTAGTACGCCTTTCTAATCTAAAAGTTTATTTTGTAATATAAAAGCAGTATAATTTCGGAAAAAAATTGTTGGTAACAAAAGCCTTTGACTTGATGTAGCGTATGGCAACAAGTATATGGTTGAGTAGATAAGTAGAAACCTCAATGTTCACAAAATTGTGATTAAACTGCTTTTGTGAAAGTAAAGTTAAAAGGATTGCCTTAATATTACTCAAATAGCAATACATATACAGTAAATCTCTAATATCAACCTACAGGACCGGCTAGGGTTTTAAATAAACGACGTCGTATCTGATATGTATTATATTAATGTACGATATTCATCGTCTCGAATTAAGTAACATGATATTCAGGCAATTAATAGTAGTCAGAATTACCACCGCTTAAAACCTCAATTTACTCACCAGTCTTATGAATTGTGGCTCTCTCTCTCTTGATAAAAAAATCTGTTAATTTTTTGTTGTCTCGCTTCGATGTAACAGACTTTGCAATATTGTAGATCAGAAGTTTAAATTTAAATACTAATTTATATTAATATTAATCTTGATAGTGCATAATTATTTGAATAATTCTTTATCAGTGAGGATCAAATCTGGATACATGTTGATAGGGATATCAACGGGGTATGATATCAAAATCGATATACGAGATAATGTTTCAAACGAGTGATGACTAGGTCAATTTTGTGTACATACAATTCGCATAATGCGTCACGGAATTAGTCAGATTGATATTGTTACGCATTGTAACTTTTGGTCTATTTACGCACCAAATTATTCTTATAATGGCGGCAATTATGTGTACATTATACTCAATGTAGTATGGTTGGGTTCTGTCCTTTCACGGAAGACAGTTAGCAACCATCCACACACATCTTTTGTGCTGATCCTCTTGATATGCGAAAGTCTTCTTTGTGTGTATTTCAACATGCTCAACATATTCGTGCGTGTAAAACATGATGTTATTATGTGCTTGGATTGGTATAGGTTTGGCAAATGCAAGCGTTCTCTTAGCCAATACTAGTTAAGATAAATCCAATTATTTTTCAATCCGTTTTTCATACCAGAAACCTGGCATCCGTCTAAACTGTTTCTCGTTAGTATACTATTTCTCGTTAGTAAACATTGATTTCTCGTTACGTGACGTCACACTATATTGACCCCTCAATTTATGACATCACATCATTACTCCAAAAAAACCGTCGTTCAAACTCTCACACAGGCTTTTTGACACATACCCTGTTTTTGCCGTCGTTCACGATAGTGGAACCTACGGCAACAGACTTGTTTTTTTAAAATTTTCACAGGTACATGTACCGTCTAATACGAGACTTGCTAGGACGGGACGAACAAAGTACTGAACTTGACGTACAGGATAACTTGGAAACCTCTACGACAACTTCGATAGGCCAGATGCAAGAGGACGGACAACAAATGAGTGATAATTTTCAGGAAGGATTAGATAATGAAGATAATGTTGAAACGATAACGAATGAGAACGTGCAAGTGGCGGTTTCGAGTGTTACTGAGAGCGAAGGTATTACGAGTGCTGATAGTTCGCCGCCGCCGTCTTCACCACGGTTCAGTGCTGCCCCGGTGTTTACTGTTCAAAATACGGAAATACCCTCCTCCAGTGTTATTTCACCTACTATCACGCCCACAATTTCACCCTCCATTACATCTACCCAGCTCGTCTCGCCACCAGCAAGATCACCAACGACGTCAACACCTCCACAAATGCCAAATCCTTCAGATTTACCTATTCCGTTTTTTCTACCAGACTCCTCCGATTCCCTTAACGCCCCTAACCAATCTAATCTTCTTAATATCATAAATCCATTGGCGTTTCTACAAAACTCTTTCTCAGCAAATTCAACGTCATCAACGACATCTGTTACAATGACATCATCAAGTGGCACTCCCCAAGAGCCAGGATCACCTCCATATCCACCACCACTAGCGCTTAGAGCTGATCCGACATTGAATATCGATAGAGCCTCGACAGAATCTCTGAAATTGGCTTTATTTGGACCACAAAGGATGGAGATGGAGAATGAGAAGAAGGATGAGGGAACGTAAGTCAATTCTTTTATCTTATTCATTCTTGCATTATTGTCTGCAATCATCTCCTGACTTGCATCCCTATTTTATAGTGACAGTGAAACTACTCAAACGCGTGTAGAAGACGTTCACAATTTAGATTATCCAAAATTCACATCAAAATCTGTTTCCGCGCACGCGCTTGCATCTTCATCTTCATCTACATTCGCATCTTCATCTACATTCGCGTCCACATCTGCATCCGCATTAATGTATACTACTCCTACTATCGACGCCGCTACTGACCCCATCGCAATTGCCGAAGAACCCACACCCGACGCAGTGTTAAGTGACGACTCTCTTACATCCCCAGTAGAAGTAGTTGACTACAACAAACTTACTAGTCTCGAATCAATACCGCCTGCTTCCACTTCACCACCAACGACCAAAGCAAGCTCATTATCTGGTGCTAGTTCGCTTTTTACATATCAAAATCCGTTTGATTTGTTCAAAAAAACTAACCCGACAACGACTGCAAGGAGTAAAGGTGGTGGAAGTGTTCATGGACAAAGTCAGAAAGCGGATGGAGGTATGGATAGGAGTACCAGTGTGAAGACTGAAGGACAATCGGTGGGGCAAAAACCGAAGGCGTCCTTTGAAGGAACAACAATTGTGGGAGAAAAAACAATTATGGACTATCCGTATATGAAGCCTTCGTTACCAGATACTACTGCGTGGAATATACGGGCTTCTATGACTAGGAAGAATTTATCGAGAGATATTCCTGATGGAATGAGGCTTCCTTCGAGTGATATTGTAATTGACCTGTCGCAACAGAACGAGTCAATGATATCAACGAGAGATTTGGAACTTACCACGATTACAAGGGTTATAAGTGATACTGAATATCGAACATCGAAATTGATTGCTGCAAATGATCATTTTATATGCTACGCAGTCAAAGGTTGGTATTAGTGAAACGCAATGCCAAATTGGTTTATTTTCTCTCGATGGCATAATGATTGTCGCATTTGCCACTAGTTGTTATTATGTATTAGCCTTCATTATTTAGTATTAGTTCTATAATTTTTAATACTGCGTGAACTTGACCTTACTCCTCAACATTTACTTATAACCTTTTAATATGACAGGAGGTAAAGTCCGTATAATAAGCATCCAATATGGAAGCAGGGCGCTCGTTCGACTCCAAGGCACGCAAATAATTGACGTATGCCTCCAATATTCTAGCCACAATAACTGTCACTTTCTTCTTGCCATCGGCGACGTTAGTACAATTACTATTTGGGAAATCTCAGAGCCGCCGCAGGCAGCCGATGAGGAAATTCCGTGCAAAATTGTCTTTGAATTAGACGCAAAGACTATAATGTCCGAACCGACGCCGCCAAGATATACGAGAGCTGTTTGGCATCCCAAGCGAACTGTATTTGCAGTTGCTACTGATACTAATGAAGTTGGAGTAATTGATGTAGCAAAGGTGTCTGAGGGCAAAGATAGTGTGAATCATAAGGAGGAAGAAATATGGTCAAGTATCGCCAAGACGGAGAAATATGACGAGGTAAGACTCATATTCAACTCGTTTCAGCATAATGTAATTTGACATATTCTTATCTAAACTATTGTATCGAAAAAAAAAAGCCAGTCGAAGACCTGGCATTCTCATCTGATGGCACAATTCTTGCAACCGCCAGTGGTCACTATGTCAAATTTTTTGATGTCCAACAACTCACGTCAAATCCTCACGAGGCTGTTGTCGTACACAGTATAAACCTTCATGGTGAAAGACCATCCTCGATCCTTTTCGTTGACCTTCAAGAAGAAGGCCTGCCTTTATTCAACAAATCATCGGCATTTGAATACGTTGTTATTGGTGCTAACAGGAATAGTTTATTGAGGTTATACGATGCGACAATGGAGAGTGCTATCCAGGAGATTAAATATATACCTCCGAAAGAAGAGACAGGAGATGGACACGGTGGAAAGACATTAACTAATGAAAGAAAGATGTTCAATTGTGTCGCGTTTGAACAGAAAAGTCGGTGTTTGATAGTAGGGAATAGTGTTAGAATGTCTATATTTGCTGTGCACTTGGATACAGGAAGGAAAAAGGTTGGATATCATTATCAATGTCCATAAGCTTCTTATTTTGTTCGCAACGACGCGAATTGTTTTCAACAGTGTTGGGTAGCTGTGACTTTACTAACCCTATTTAATGACTCGTTTAGTTCGATTACATAATTGAGTTCCCGGTTGATCAATTCATAATCAGCTTTGTAAACGTCCCGGAATCAGATGGTTTCAGTATCTACTGCATTCAGACAGATGTTGTACAACAATATCTGCTATACTCAGAAATGTTGTACCCAAACAACCTTGAAAGATGTCCTGAATTTAAGTGCGAACCAAGCATATTCATGCAGAAGAAGACTGATGATAGGTCAGACAAAGGAGCTACAGAAGTCATTTCAGCCGAAGGATCAGAACCGAAAGTTAAAACGGCAGAGATAGAAGGGGAAGATAAAGAGCTGAGCGTGACTACAGGAAACCAAACCAAAGCTATAAATACAAGTACGGAGATTACTCTACCGCAGCCAATCAAACAACCATTAAACGCACCACCAGTAACGGCTACTCACGACCAGTCCTCTCTGCATCCACCTCATCCCTCTGTGTCTACTTCAGCTACGACTTCTGCAATTGCCTCAACATCAACCAGTACAGAATCTCATTCTTCAATAGTCCGAGCGACTTCCGAATTACAACCAGCAGACGAAGAAGATAAAAAAGAAAATCAAAAAGCCGCCTCAACTGGCAACATTAAATTGTCTGGTCCTGTTGTTAACGGTACTATTGCAAGATTAAAGGAGAAGAAAAAGGCTGAAAAAGAACGAGCTTTAGCTGCTGCAGGGACGGGAGAAATAGTGTCGGATTCTGAAAGACCCGCGAGGCGCAAGGATCGACATAGAGAGAAAGATAAAGATAAGGAGAAGGATAAAGACTCAAATAACGATGCACATCAAGAACCATCACAGAAGAATAAAAAACCCGCAGATTTACAAAAAGCCAATGGTAAATCATCGAATGCGAATGAGAAATCACGCAAGGCAGAAGCGCAGGCTCAACAAGAAAACTCTAACCACAAAGCAGGTACTGTGAATGGGAACATTTGCTATTATCTCTGACTGTCTACACTTTATGCTAACAGTATGAATTGGATGTTATAGACGGAAACACTTCCAAGGAGTTTAGAAAACTAGAAGAAAATATTGTTAATAAAGTGCAAAAGGTGTTCATTAAAGAAATGGATAAGCAATGTAAGTGCATATGTATTTTTTATTCCTTGTCGCCCTTTTATGTTAACTTCTTTTTCACATCTTAACTCGACCTTATTCTTCCCCACCTTTCTAAGCACAAGAACTAAAATCCGATCGTATACAGCATCAAGCTCTTGAGACATCTCGACAACAGTCAATTCTGAAGGTTGTTTCCGATACGTTGAATAATAATACTTCTCAGTTAATGACCCAGACAATAAGACAGGAAGTGCAGACTATGCTTGTGCCAGCATTGACTAGGACGCTAACCAATGCAGTTGATAATAAAGTAAAGCAGGCGTTACCTGAGGCTATAAGTAAGGTAGATGTATAATAATTTATAATATGGTTGAATAACAACGTAGATCGTGGTATCATCGTACAAATATGCAACAATTCACTTACAATTTACTTTTTTCCACTATCTTAAAAGTCGATCCCAGTCGCAATCGAGCGGGCTGTATCCGAAAATGTTTCCAAAGTTCTCTCCAAACCGGCTGTGATTGAATCGATTGCCAAAGGCGTGTCCAAAGCAATGCGGCCAACCGTTGACGAAATATTCAAACAATCGTTTACTGGCATTCTTGTCCCTCAACTCCAGGAAGCTACGGCTGTAATGTTCTTGCAAATAAATCAAACAGTAGAAGAGGGTTTGCAACATGTTGCAGAAAGGAGTGAGAAAAGTTTGACCTCGATGGGAGCGGGTGAGAAGGGAATTCACGGAAGGTTAGAACAATTAGAAAGGTCTATAAGAGACATGCAGCAAACTCAGGTGGAATTGATTAATATAATAAAAGGAATGCAACAGCAACGACAGCCAGAACTGCCTCAGCAACAGCTGCCCTCGAGCATCCACCCACAGCCTCTTGCCACCACCGCCACTGCCACCACAACTCATCTCCCTTCTCACATGCCCGAGACGCATTCGTCACACGCTACAGCCGAGGTTCAACACAAGCTGGCTCGATCTTTATCGGGAGAATTGAAGCGTATGCTCATTCCTCAAACAACTCCACGATTGGGACGGATGAGTGCGCAGGATGGATATGAAATGGGAAATAAGGGAGTTGGGAATGGTGGTAAGTGAATAAGGGATGAGTGAGCAGGGTTTGTGTGGGCGTGCGTGGTACAAAAATAATGTATGGGGTAAATAGACAACTCCGTTTGCTTATTGCATGATGACTTTTTTCCTAATATCCGCTACTTTATTTTTTACCAATACCCGCCATTGCTCTGCCGATTATCTCGTTACAAAATTCATATATATGATTCATGCCAACCAAACGATCGGTCGATCGGTCGATAGCTCTTCAATCTACTGGTATAATGGCATCCATAGGAGCAGGTACACCTGTCAATAACGTGCCTATTTCGCTCCCCACCGCGGCTACGCCGATGGCCACAGCAACCATGCCAACCATGTCATCCATGCCATCTACGGCGACCATCCCACTATCTACAACGACCACCATTCCACAACCTACCACATCTATAATTCCCCAATCGACTGCCACATTTAATACATCGAACACTTCTCTAATTACTCGTCAAGCATTGCCTTCTCAAGCGGAACATACTATTGTGCATCACCGTCAGCAGACACATCAGCGTCACCCAAGTGTGCAGCGGACGTATACGTCTCCTATGGAAGCCCCTGGAGTAGTTGAATTGAGGAATATGATTGATAGGTATTTGGAAGTGGGGAATTTTGAAGAGGCTTTTGTTAAGGTTCGTTTTAGGGCTTGGTTTTTGAGGTTGGGAGAAGGAAGCGTACATATATACACACAGCACGCGCGTATATATGTGTGTGTACTTCTCATACCCAATTATACAAACTAAGCAAATGCCAAATATCAGCGTACATCATTCATTAAAAAATTTTGTCAAAATTTCCAACAGGCCCTATCATCCAACGACGCGACAACAATACTCCGCTTAATTAGTAAACTGGATCAGAAGACTATTTTTCATGAAGACGGTAGGACAAGTGTGTCGCAGCTTGTCGTACTCTCACTGATTCACCATCTATCGAACGAATTGGATAAGCTATTTGAATTGAAATTGTTATGGTTGGAAGAGGCAGTTGCTCATTTAGATATTAAGGTGAGTAGAGAAGCATTCGTTGGAAACTTGTTTGAAGGTTGCTTATATTAACTATTCCCATTATAACGATACTTGTTATTATAGGACGCCTCAATTCGAGAACACCTTCCCCGGATCATCCCCCCGGTTAGACAACGTCTTGAAGATACATACTATCGACAATTAGCTGAAGATACTTCGCACCCTAGTCTGAAGAGATTTGCTATGCTCATATATAGGATAAATAACTTTATTTGAATACCTGTGTATGTAATAAATAGGTGATATGTATGTAGGATGTATTATATAGAGTGGGGAATAAAATTGTATATTGGTATTTTAGTCTTGTTAAAATGGTGGTATGCGTGTTTTGAGAATTTCACATGACTTGCGTCGATCTCCTTTGGTGCTGACGAATATCTGTAGATCAGAATGCGTCATCATCTATATGTAGAACACAATAGGTAGGTAGATAAATTGACTTGAGAGTGTTACGGAAGATTTCAGGGGTTCCGAGCATCAAAAAATTGATGACGGTTTAGTTTTTCCATATGCTTGATTAACATATGTATACTAGTTCTTTCTAATCTTCGACTTTTGGCACAATGGTAAAGAAAGCCTATCCATGAGTTTCTTGAAGCTAGCAGAACACGTAACTTAGCAGATCCCAATCATTATTTATCATAGGCACAGAAATTTTTGAAGCAATAAACAAATGTGCAGGCAATCCGAATTGATTCTGTTTCAGCTTTCGAAAAGTCTACTTTGCTATTACTATGGTGGATCATACATTGTAGATGACCTGCCGTTTACAATGTTAGAAAGAATAACTTTACCACTATCCTGAAACAAAAAAGTTCACCATTGATATATACCGCTTATTTTTGTGTAAGTGGCTTGGAATGTCGCCGAAATATCCAACAATAATAACTTCTCATTTATTACACTCACTGCAGGAGTGGGGCAACCGATGCGTGCAAATCAGAGTCTATAATTGAAGAAGGGATATCTATAGTTTTCTGAACAACGAGAGACAAATGTTCTGCGTTCAGACATCTATCCGGTCTGAGATGTAAATCTCTAAAGGAAATGTCTCCCTGTTATTATTTTTCTCAAGAAGTGGGAAGGTCAAAATATATGACGGAAAGGATTCGGTAAATTAGGACGTCCCTTGCTAGGAATTGCTTTTTAGCATCAGACAATGTTCGATTAAATAAATCATCTCTTTTCAAAGCGAACAAGGAAAGCATGTGACCGAATTACAAACGTTGATCCATTATTAATTATTGGGAAGTTTTGAATGATATGAACCCCTGAAAATAATATTATACAATTGCATTAATCCATGGTTACACAGTAGATTGTTCATAACGATAATCTCTCTCGTCAATCGTTTTGAACGCAACAAATACAACGTTATTATTCATCTAATCAATTATACCATCTTTCCCCATGACACCTGGCGTACCACACAACATTCACGTAATGTCTGCACACAGGATAAATACCTCTCATCTATACATGCGCCATGTGCCACCACCACTGCGTGAAATAAACTACGGTTCCCGTGACCATGAATCTCCCGCCGCATACTTAAGCATCTAATAAAACTTGCTTATCATGACAAGGGAAAAAAGATTGCTTCACGTATCGAGAGAGTTTTATTACGAGTAATACCATAACCAGAAGTTTACTATCTACTCAGTCCGTTACTATCAATAGTTCCAGCTTTACTGCACAGACGCTTCACGCTACAGTTTGTCTACACTCTACTTCACTATGTCAGCGCAAGGAATAAACAAGTTACAGCTCCACTTCGACAAGTACGAGGAAACGGTCGAGATCGCATATGCCACTCTCATACTCAAGAGACCAACATTATGGTGTGTGGTCGTACTCGGACTTAACGCTACCGTTTGGCAAGTATACTCATTCATACATACATATATATATGGGTAGCGAAAGGAGTGAATTGCTGTGAGAAACGAAGACTTAAATGCATAATGTAGCGCATACATCCGATTCTTGTCACTTTCTCGTGCATAAACGCTACTTCCCTTACTTATCTCGTCCATTACTACACCTCACAGGGTCTTTACCAACCCATACATACCGCTCCTCACGTTGGTAGCATCAGGAACTGGTCTGTATGTGTTGCTCTCAGAAATACTTGTCCATAGTAATACCAATACCAACTTAAAGGATGCATCAAAGGTACGAGTGTGAATGAGAATAATATGATGATAAAGGAAGATGTGCGCATTTCAGCTTTGGGTTGTGGCTTCTAATCGTAGTCGTGATTTAATCATTTATTATATAGAGTATATTACAGCCACTACACAACAGACTTGAGAAAGAATTGTAAGTGAGAATGTGAAATCATATCTTGGAATTTTTCTCAACCGAATTCAAAACATTACTTCTCACCTGCTGTCAACCCATTCCTTGTTCGTTTATCAACGATAAATTACAGTGCTCAGCCCACACCGGTCAAATACTCCGAAATATGCAATAGGCTCAAGATCCGTATACAATGGTTGCGTGATTCTGTATCAAAATTCCGCAAGGATAATCCACGATTGGTAAGTTTGCAAAAGTATATTTGAATAAACGGTGACCAATCGACTAAACCCGTAAAGAATGGAGCCCAGTAATGTCTGAGACGAAGAGCAGATCGTGTTGCCATCGTAGTTCGTATTGAAAAGTATTAACTGTTGGCCACTTTGTAGTATTTGGCAGTTGTGCTCAATACATGTTTCCTCCTTGCACTTCTCGGAAAGCTAATGTCGCCCATGAAACAAGCTGTCCTCATTGGTATGTTTTGGTTCACGTGATTGGAAACCGCTTTTACCTCTTTGTGCTGTCTGAGCCTATCAAAATTCTGTCATTAATTTGTTCAATTATCCTTTCGCTGTTACAGTAAATTCATTGCTGTTGATTCCGCCGTTAATACATTACGATGCGATAACCAAATTCCAGACTTTGTGTGAAAACCAACATTTGGTTGAAGTATGGAAATGGTTAAATGATACAGTACTCAAACGTAAGTGTTAGTGTTTTGTTTGCTTTTGACATCAAATGGTTGACACTACATTGTGCTCATCTCCAATCTTTGTACAAACATCCAGTTCCGACTCAAAGCTCACAGAACGCCGACTTGCTCTTCCAAACAAATGTTGACTCCATAAGACCGTATTCCCCTCCAAGCAATTATCGCGAAGAGGCCATTACTGCAACCGGACGACTGGTGCCAGGAAATAGAATAGAGCATGATAAAATGGTACCGTCAAGCAATATCACGGAGGAAGAGAAAAGGAGTAGCATAGGAAGCCGGAGGAAAAAGGACCAGAAGGATAGGAGCGAAGATATTGAATTGGGTGAGCGAAAGGTTGTAATAGTCGAGGTGAAGAAATTGGAAGCGGAGACGGTAAATGAACAAGAGAATGCAACAAAAGGAGTGGTAAAAGAAGATACGGCAAAGAAGGATGTGGATATGGATGAAGCGAAAGGGCAATTGGAACAGACGAGGCAACCAGAGGAGAAAAAAGACGATAGCAGCGTGATGCCATCATTCCTAACCTCTGAAGACAAACCATCTGAAGTCTTTCAACAAGATTCACTCGTTATTCAAAATCTGCCACCGCCAATCCAAACTGAACAGGATCACGGTTCAGAGACCCCTAAATTTGAAACTAAAGACCATATGTCCATGTCTGTTGTCGGCGAAAAGATTAAAGAAGCACTTGCGGAATCTACAGCCGCTCTTGCTCCTGCTGATGGTAACGACCTGAATGATTCTGGTATGTTCCCGAAAAGAGGGGAGGGTTGAGAAGCGGACAACGATAAAGTAGTATTTATTTACTAATCCATCCGTTGTGACTATCAATTAACTTCTTCAGTCCTCGACGGTGAATGGGAGAAAGACTTTGATGATATTAAGGAGGACTAAGTTCTAGGAATGACCGTCTCTACTATAGAACTACATTACCTTGTTTGGTACAAAGTATTACCACGGTCTTTCTTGTGAAGAATATCTCTTATTATTCAATCAAATATGCATGCTCGCAATTTGCTTTTCTGTTTATTGTACGTGTTCGCTTCCGAGAGCGCATAGTTGATAGTCTGAGAATAAATTATTTTTTTACTTTGAAACGAGTTTAGCTAACTGGGAGTATTGAACTAAAAAATTTTTCGGCTGATATTTGCACATACTTGTAGCCAATCATCAAATTCTGAGACGTGGCAAAATCCTGCAATTCCTCAATATATCATGTGACCGTAGATGTTTGTCCAACTATTACTATGCATATTGACGTAGTAGTACAAACTATGCATTTGAAGTATCACATGTCTCCTCATAAAAGGAATATACTATGTAATTTTGACGACATTCTGAATATGCTGTATATCTGGGCTAATAAATACATAACGCAATAATCCTAGTTACGGATAATAAATGGCACATAGATATTATTGCCACCGCATTATGCCTTACAATTTTGCAGACACTTCCATCTTTGTCGTCGATATTAGCCTTCAGTTTACTATGTTTGGAATGTTTGGAATGTTTGGCATGCGAATGGTGTGAATTACTGTCCTTGTTGTTATTATACTAGTATTCTTGCTTCTGCTGCTCAAAACGCATACGCATAAAATAGAGATTCAACAATAGCGTGAGTTACTCTACCGATATAATGTGAGCCAACTACCGCGGGAGAGCGCTCAGTAATTGGCCTTAGGATTTAGCCTTTTCAATCGAGGCTTGGCTAGCCTCTACTCTCCTGCTTAAATCGCCAATACAGTTGGTGGCCTTATTTCTGGCTTTTAATATGCTCCCAAATTAATCGATCGGTAGTTCTTCATCGGTAGGATTAGTTCCGATAGTGCGTTGGGGGACCGTAGTATACGCGTATGTTAACGAGAATTGATGCTACCTAGCGATTCCGGAATCCGTGCTTTACGCCGGGATAATTAATGTCCAATATGTATATCATTTATTGTTGAATGATAGCTAATAATAGTACAAGTGTTCGAAGGAATGTTTAGATTCAAGAACGAAATCCAAACTACAAACTGAAGATAATGTTAGCTAGCGAAACCATCTCCGCTTATATCATTTCACTAACTATATAATTGTAGATCGCATTAATAGATTTATGTTATGCTGTTATTGGATGCAGATTGTGGAAATACGTCATCATTAACAATACAGTCAACTGCCGTTAATTCGACTCCCGATAATTCGACTTTCCAGTATTCGACAATTACCGATTTTTTCATATGAAATTTTTTCCGTTAATTCGACCGTTACATATGAATTTCCGATAATTTGTAATTCGACCGC